TTCTTCTTAATGACTTTACTCTGTATTTTCAGATATTTACTTCTGTCTCCTCTTTGGAAGGCTTCGATGTAGCGATGTCTGATCGGAGGCGATCTATTCTCTTCTGTAGTCTGATTTCCATGGAGGTCTTTCTTATGTAGCTGGGAGTTCTTTGTGGTGAATTTCGATAATTTTACCACCATTTGCTCTCACAATGCAACTGCCATACAATATATTGCAGAATCAAGGCTGTCATAGTCGCAATGAGGGAAGGTCTCTTTTACCAAAATTGTTCGTTGCCTATCTTAACTAGCATTGCAGTTTCTTTGAGTTGTGCTGTTCGGGACTCTTGGTCTAACATTAGGATCCATTCCTCCATATTGAATATTTGCCAAGCCGATATTTTGATTCGAGATTTTCATATAGTTGATCTCTGAAAGTAGGATATTCGTCTGAAGGCGCTTCGTGCAGAAGGATGCCGATGCTGGGGTTTGAATTGTGTGACGATATTACTGAGGCTTCTGTGTACCCTTGTTGCTTTAACTGTACTTGCACTTCAGCTTAATCTCATTTTTTCTTGTACATGAAACATATTTATCAGATTTATGGATTAATTCTCTCGGTCCGCGATATTTTGTTCAGTGAGGTGAGATAAAAGTGAGTTACTGTTGGTAAAGCATCTATGTAATTCCTGACGAATCCTATACGAATTGAATCGGCAACGGGTAACGCGATAATATAACCTGATGATGTCTTCATTCATTTCGTTTCGATCCACTGAACTCTCCGTCGTGGGCAGGCCTGCCCACAGTAGGTCCCAAGTGTTGTCTGGAAACACAGTGCTCAGTGCAGCTGAAGATCTTGAGTGCGGCTTTCTACGGCTGTAGTAATTTCGGGTATCCCGGTGTGTGTCCGCCTGTTCAACAACACACCAGCTAGCGGTTCGCATGCTGTCACAGACAGCGCTAGCTCCATCTGTGCCCTGCGCCCCAGGCAGCGCGCTCTGTCCAGGCGAATTGCAATGAATCTCTCCATTCCAAAATGGGTGTGGTCTGATAGGGTTGCTATCTCATGCTTTTCCACCTGCCATCTTGTGTATTAACCCCAATGAACGGTTGCTCCTTCCGCACCAGTTTTTGGCCCGTAGAGACTTTGCCCATGTACCCCCCCCGGGCACCGGGCTCTCTTTATCAATCCCTGAGAGACCGTTCCTTCGAGGCCATCTGTGCGTGTTCTCACAGTACTGCCTTTCTGTAGTGTCCTCTTCTCTGGTGTTGAGGTCCCTCTTCTGGAGTACTTCTTTGTCTGATCCCCTCCCCTCGAACCTGTTCGACTAGGGAAGCCCTACCAGTAGCACCGCTACCGCCGCATAGCTTCAGGGACATTGCGGATACACAAGCTCACCACCACCAACGTCAAGGTCATGTACTCCCCAGGTGGGTTGTTATTATTATTATTATTATTATTATTATTATTATTATTATAGGGTGACGAGAGGTTAAAGGATTAGGATGATGGTAGTGTTAGGTGGGGATATGGGAGGCGGGAGATGTTCGTGGGATGTTGGAACTATACCAGCATTCTCCATGTCACACAGGGAATTCACGATTGCGAATCCAGCGCGCTACACAATGAGCCACTTTGCTTGGTAATATTATTATTATTATTATTATTATTGGTATTATTATTACTATTATAATCTATACTAGTGGATACCTGTCAGGATTTGATCATAACTGATTGAAAAAATCTGTAAATGTGACACTCATATATTTTCCCTTTTAATAAATTAATTTTAATAAGTGAAATCAAATTTCCAGTTTTATTAATTTTTTAATCACCTTTTGATAATTGAGACAATGCATTCTGCGTCCCATCACGTAAATGGATGACAATTCCTCGACGTGAACTGCCAAGTCATCAGACGTCTACAAACACTTAATCGCGGAACAAAATTCTTTCGCTCGAACAATTCCGCAATCGATCAATTGTTCCTTCCTTCGCCGAGTAACACAAAAGAATTCTCAAAAGGGACAAAAAAGAAGATGGAACACTGAACGAAGTGCAAGTAAAAGAATAAACTAAAAGAAGCATTGTGTCCGGAAACAGCTCTCTAATACTATAAACAAACTCCCCTGTTGTTTGGGTGGCAGGCCCGATCGACAAAAGCTTTCCCACGGCGCTTTCGCATTGAGCGCTACAAGAGGAAGCGGTGATCGCACAAACCAACCAATCAACCACTCAGTTCAGCTGCCGGAGAGCTCATGCACAGTCGAATTTATTGTTGACATTTAGGAATTAAGGAAGTTGTTAAACAATAAGAAGTTACTTGCAATAAGTAGACTCTTATTCGAGTTTGTGTTTTATAGATGACTCTTTTACAGACAGAATAGGTACTTTGTAGGTGTTCGAAAACAGGGCAATTGCAACAAATAATTTATGGCTGACTTGTGATAAATGGTGTACAAATGTGTCATGAACCGCGTGCGGTCTTTCCTTCCTCTTCCCTGTCCCATCCTCGCCCCTTACGTACCCACACTTGCATTTACATGCACTACACTATCACACATGGCAGGAGACCAGTCGGAAGCTTGTCCCGTATGGGGCGGTGCCAAGCTAGTGGGAGATACCTGGTGGGGGAAAACTCCACTAACCTCCGTCAGGTCAACTCCGGATCTCACGAACCAGCGAAAGATCACAGCCCCCTCCCGAGCAAAAGCATGCACTACACTTACAGGAGTGATTACTTTAGCAGTAGACGCGCCTGGAAACCTGAAAGAATCAATCAATCAATCAATCAAACAAACAAACAAACGTTTTGCCATAAACCACTTTCGCGGAATCAAAGACTCAGTAACTATGATTCTGTGTACACAAGGTGTTAGAGGACGTTGTTGATTTCATATACGATCAAAAAATCACCTTTTTATTTGGTATCAGGGACACATCAGATGGTTTTTTTCTGCAAAAAATCGTAATGCAGAAAATTGAAGCAGATACGATAAGGGAGGTAATGAATTAAATAATACACGAAAGACACAAATGTAGGCTAAACGAAAAGTAAAAATTTAAAATTTGAAAGCACCCAGTAAACATTAATTTATTACATCAGCATTTGTGTTCAAGAAATAAAACAAATAGAATTACAGAAGAACTCAATCATGTTGTGCACATCATAACATATAAATAATATGTATTAAAGTTTAGTGTCTGTATTGATTATCAATTCCAAATCAGATTTCATAAGTTATTTTAAATGGGATCATTAATAATTAATTTTATATAATTCAGTTTGTGTGCAGTGAAACAATGAAATTTATTATATTTAATAATATACTATTGTAAATAATTCGTAATTTAAAATAAAGAAGAGATAATAGATCTTAATTTTTTATAACACACATTATTTTCACATATTTTGTAAAAATAATAGTATATTATACTAACAATCATATATAAACTGATATTCTTGGCTGTCACTCTCAATTAACATGGAAAAATTTTTTGTCTATTTCATTCAACCCCCAATGAAGTTGGCAATTTTCTCTAAATGAAAATTATTTTCGAAATTAAAAACGACATCACCTATTCTTTGGATGACCTTCGAACATTATGGAGATATTTTCATTTTACCTTCTTATAAACCATTTAGAATCTTCCGGAATGGATGGACGAGAACAAACATTCACGGTCCAAGCAAACTGCATTACCCTTTGCGTTCTCACAATCAAGTAATAATCAGTTTATGCAGAAAAATCTTTGACCATTCTTACGACGAAAAAATTCCTGAATGAAGCATTCCATTTTTAACAAATTTTGAGAATGTTGAGTCTTCTTGTAAAGTACCCACAAAAAATGAAAATATCCGTTTCAAACTCGCAAGGTCTGGAGTTCGTTCAGATTGATCATCAAATATCAATTTAGGATAAAATCGTCTAAACGGTTTACTGTTGCTGTCTAAAGGCACTACTGTTGACCATTCACCGACAGAAGGTTTGCTGTAAACAGATTTTTCGGTGAGGAGGGTCCACAAAACATGAATTCAGAATACACAACGTGTTAGAGAAAGTAACTAGCAACTTTCAGAAACAAGATTTATCGCACGTTAAAATTAAATATGGAAAATGTTTAAAGTAGCTCCTGTCTTACCCTATATAAATTTATTTAATTCATTTGCTGAAATGCAAATGAATTAAATTTAAGAATATAATAATAGTATGCAGTTACAAAGCCAATTTAATTTATTTGCTTAAAATACACACACAGCCATACACACACACATATATAGTATATATAATATATTATTTAAATAACATATAATATGTATTACATAAGATAATAAGAATATACATTATAAATACAATGAAGTGAATATATCTGATTAGAGTAAAGTTAATCAAAGAGCAAAAAATACACAGGTATAAATTCAAAATTCACCAAAGTCTCATTTCAATCTATGTATGCTGAAGGACATTGGATCACTATAGAAATTATATGCAAATGTTTTTATAAACATATTGCAGCACCCGAATTTTAATGTTTATTAAAATGCAAATTTTGCAATTAAATTCATGCAAATTAAATTTGCAAACGAAGTAGCAAAATTTGTAAAGTACAATCACAAGTTTGAGATACGGCATCGCTGTTCAAAATAGTAGAGTAAATACAATAATTTTTATAAAAATCTAAGATCCGATAGTGAATAGAAAATTTCTGAATAAATGTGAAGTATTGGCCATGCAAAAATTAAGTAATTAGCTATTAAAATTCATATAAAGCAAACATCATTAAAATTCAACTTTTTTTCCGATTTGAACATCTTATCTTTATTGATTACCCCTTGAAAGGTTTCTTCTCTGTGTGAAAAGCTCCACTCTAGCGAGAAAAAGAGAATATTGCAACTGTAGTCTGTTGTATTTCGTCTCTTTTCTCATTAGGAGATCTACTATTTCTCCTTCACGGTATTTCCTTGCACCAATGCGCATTCTTTCGAATTTTTACATTTGGTCGCGGATGCTCCTTTATTCAGAAGTAATTTTACAATATCCCAACGACGAGCTTTCGCATCTAGCACAATAATTGGATGACCGCCGTAAATTGGATGCGTCAGCCAATCCTCTTGTTCTGCGTAGAAAGGTGCCAATTAAATCCCAACTTCGGTTGTTTGCGGCCATTACCATCGCTTTCTCATCAATTTTTGCTTTCTTTCTCAAAAGAGTATGCACCAAAAGCGTGTGTTTTTTTCTCGCTGCAAGTGCCATGGGTGTAAACCCGGCAGCGTTTTTGGCGTTGATCTTTGCTCCGCAGTCTACAAGGCGAACGGCAACTAGCCGGTGGCCGTTCAGGGCCGCGAGGTGGAGAGGAGTTCGCAATTTGTAGCCAGTGGCGTCGACGCGTATGAATCCGACGAGGACTACCACGGCTTTAATGTGGCCTCGGGAAGCTGCCACGTGCAAGGCCGAGTCGCCCCGTTCCATCAGCTGGTCTCTGCTTCGAACTGCATCCTCCCCGCTGCTGAGCAGTTCGAGCAGGCCGGCATCGTCTCCATTTCTCGCCAATTCGAGCAAGGACCTGAGCGGGGGGGGGGGAGACGAATTGCGGGCAGTCGGATAGCCGTGAGCTGAAGTAACGCGGTGTGTTTTGTAGCGGGGAATAAGCTATCATCTCGTCTCTTTGTTGCCTCGACTCATCTTCTTCCACCGACCGTAGTGGCGATCTAGGTGGCGTTGGAGGTCTCCCCCCTGTATCTGTGTGTGTTCCTGTGGAGATACATGTTGGCTGTCGACGTATCTTCCGTGTTTGCTTCTGTGTCCTGCTTGCCGTTGTTTCGCGAAAGCTTCCACGTTAGTCAACGAGGGTTTCAGTGGTCAGCCCAGTGGACGTCTTTTCACCTGGGCAACAAAATACACATTAACAATAATACAATAATAATTATGATAATGGTCATATTAACCAACAATCAATCTACTTAAAGCATGAACTATTTTAAATAAGTCAAGAGCATGAAAAAATTTTCGTCCTACTTTAAAAAAAATCATTTATACATATTATACTAATTTCGAATAATAATAATAATAATAATAATAATAATAATAATAATAATAATAATAATAATAATAATAAACTGAGTGAAGTGGCTCAGAGCGTAGCACGCTGCCTTCCATTCTGGGGCAGGCCATCCTGACCGGAGTTTTTGTGGTTTCCTTTGGTCATACAGGCGAATGCTGGGATGGTTCAAAAATGCCACAGTCACCTCTCATCATCATCCTAATATCTCGTAATTCCTAATTCAAGGCTGAACAACCCTGTTTTACCAAGGAATACAGCCGAAAAGCTAATGTCACACGTAAATCTCTCCGGGGTAGATTTAAATTTATTTAGTCAAAAAACAGCAATAATTGAATATGACGGACGGGGAGAAGATCATCTGCGCACGCTTTCTTGAGTTCCGGAATCTCTTTACATACTTTTAACTATAAATAGTTGAAAGATGAGTAAAAGGTAAAGATAACTAACTAAATTAATTAATTAATTAAAAATGCGAGATTAGCAACATTTGAAAAACTAGACATTTTCGTTCCCGAGTCAAAGACAAATTATTTGCGTCGGTAAACGAATAGCAAATATGAATTTTCCGCATTGTTAACAAAATAGTAACTCGCCCTTTCTCTACTCCCACCATTATAAGCAAAAGGAGAGTTCAACAACACATGCGCATAGTGAAACTGAACTAGTCCAGAAGCAAAACAAGGGGTCCGTCTCAGCGTTTGCTCAATGTATCAGGGAATCTGGACAAAAATCTAAAGAAGATTGTATTTGTCTAAGTTCCGGATTAGAACGTGTAATGTCGTAATAATAATAATAATAATAATAATAATAATAATAATAATAAAAGAAAAAATATTTAAATCCAATCATTTATCATAAAAAACGTAAAAACTTCACGTGATGTATTGGGAAGAAGTACAATCTGCACGTTTCCTTGAATTTCTCAATCCTTACTCCCTCTCTCATTAAAGGCCTCTTTATACAATATAATTTTCGAGCAGTTTGAGCTTACAAAAAGCGTGCAGTGCAACCAGCATGGTTTTGCATAAAAAGTCTGAGCAAGTTCGATTTTTTCCATACAGAAAGTAAGAAAGTGCGACTCAAGCACCTTCGGTGGTAGAATCGTTTACTACCGGATGTTTATGCCGGATGTTCATCCATTTCAATTTTTATTGTTAGGTGATGTTAGTTGTGATTTTGTATATTGGCGTGGCATCATTTGAGTTCTCGGCTATTCTGGTGGGTTTAGTTTACTGACACGTGCAAATATGAGGTTTCTGAATCTCGCTTCCGCAGCCTTCATCCCCTCCATGGGTTTATTCTGCGCAACTAATGTAGCTGTCCTAGGCACAACCACGCCCATAGCGACACTGATGATGGCCTTCCTATTTTTTTGATACTTGCATAACTGGCATTTTTATGCATACGAGGCCTACAAGTATAATGTACATGGTAAAATTCAATCTATATATCTCAATCACTTTTACACCTTTCGTTGCCGTAGCAACAATTCGAAAATAGTTACTTTGGCATTAAAATAGTGGTCGCCAAACTTAAAAAGCTTCGTACATTTTTTAAATCTTATTCTGAGCTACCAAAATACTCTAAATGAGAAATAGGAACTAGCGTCAACAATCTGCATTAGCGAAAGACTGACGTACACACGCAAAACATAACGGACATGAACTCAAGCACAACCTATCAATTAAGTCTGCCAAGGAGAGTGGAGTGGGAGTATGCAAGGGCAGTTTTCGTCAGTCTTCTGTCAGAACTCATTGGAGCAACTTCAGGTTAGACAACTGGACCGGAAGACGGTGATCTACGGAATATTTTCTGAACTCCCTCCAACAACTAAATTATTGAAGATAGGGAGAGTCCTTTATCTAAGACTATTCTTCACAATAAGATCTTTAAATAATATTTTGTACACTTTTACGAGAACATTAAGAGTTTTCGATTAATTTAGTAGTCAAATCATGATAATACTAAACAATAGTCGCTCAGAAAGTGTTCATTCGCTGGTGTTTGGCAAAGAGATTTTGTGCAAGATTTGTTGCCCCCTACTTCAAAGGCAAATCCACATTGAAATTTTGTTTTATGATATTTCAATCGCATGTGCACAAAAAAAAGGTTAGGCAAATTCACGTTGTAATTTTTGTTATTAATGCATATGATTTTTATCTCACATCCATTAGCAAAAACCGAGGCAAATGCACTGTGTAATACTATTACTTCCATTTCCTGTGCGTTAGCAAAAAGCGATTACCTTGAACATCCTTAATCCCCTGGAACTTTATAATATTTGTTCAGTACAAAACTCAAACAATCGTCTATTGTGTCGATAAGAGAAAAGCTGAGGGAAGGAGCCATTATGCCCATTAGCGCGTTACCATTGGCCTGTCCATGTATAAGCAAACACGAGTTCCAAAACAACATATAGGATATTTTTTCGAAATAGATGTTGCTATCAAATTGAACGGATCTCTCTCTCTCTCTCTCTATTTGATCCCTGAGAATTTCACAAAGATTATTTAAATTTTGAAATATACATTATTTTGAAAATGTCACCCACTTAACTTACCTTGCAGTAAACAAATGAATTTCCTAGAAGCGTTCGAAGTAATTAATTGAAATCTATTTACACAGTTTCCATTAGTCATCAAATTGCCTGAAGTTAAAATGATTCCAATTTTTTTCTACCAATGTATAGAAACCAACAAATAATAAAATAATAAATAAGACCAGGAATAGTCCAGTAATATGTAAAGAATAGACATATCTATATTTTTTACATTTTATTATCATGAATAATATTAATTATTAATTTACACTGAAATTCTTCATAGTTAATGCTACTCGTATGTACCTAAACACTATTCGCTGATTTTTGCTAGCATAGAAAGAAGAAAAACAAAAACCGGAACAAGTATGCCGCCACATATAAAATATTTAAGGCAGAAATCATTATAACGAAGATTTTAAACTTTCCACTGCAGTGAGAGAGATGCCCTACGTACATTGACGTGTCGACTACATCATTGTGAGGTCTCATCCATAGTACACATCTACGGCGGAAAGCAAATTTCATTTCCCGCATCATACCAAAACATACTACCAACCTCCCGGGACTCGGATTCTGTTTCCCAACACCTTCCAAAATACCATTCATTCCTCACCCGCATTGTGGCCATCTCCCCCCTGGAGACAACGGGAATGTTCAGACGCAGAAGAATAAAACCCGCCCTTCCCGAAGAGACCAACGGAGGCCTCAAGGAACCTGCGCCAATAGAACATCTCTCCTTGCTGGAGCTTGCGGCAGCCACCACGCCCACAGGCGTACCACCCTCACAGCCTCCAAATTCCCTCGGAGCTGCTCTCAATCACTGCCCCTGGATGAGAAACCATCCTCACCGCTCGCTTGTCTCCCGCCGGAGCGACACATTTGTTCGAAACGACCCGCGAGACATTGCAGCGAGCGGTTGGCAACAATGACGGCGCAGGTCGCAAACCAGGAGCCGCGAGGTAGTTCCTGTGGGGAGAGAAGTAAAAACGCGCGGGTGAGATCTCACGTGGGAGGTTCCATGCAATGACAAGCTTTCGTCCACGCTCGACTGGTGTCCCTGGAGTAGAAAGCCGAGGGAAGGCCCGTGAAAAATGAACGCGCGCTCTGCGCACCTGGCGGGGCTAGGGGGAACTACGGGGCTCCGTCAATCACAGCTAAGTGCAGATGGGGGCGGGGGCCCTCCGAGAATAGACAACGTGCAAAAAGGCGCGGGGAAGGGGGCAACAGGACGTTTTATTCGATTTTCGAGAGAAAAATTTCGAAACGTAATGCGACGGAAGACGTGAAATGCGTTTTTAGATAGAACGCGAAGCTTTCGATAACTATTTTCTGACTACCACGCGTTCAAGTCAAATTAAAATATTTTATACGATTTGGGCATGCCAAGAAAAATTGTTTCAAAAGATACATTAAGTCTACAAATACATTTCTCTACGGAAAACAACAACAATATAACAACTGTTTCGTGGGTTGCATGACATGCGAAAAGAAAAGTTATTTACGAAGAAAATAACATGTGAATATTCATTTATTTATGAAGTTACGATACTGTCGTGGATCAATGTAAAAAAATAGATATTACTAGATATCTAAATACTAGTGGCCTGCAGTAGTAAAATGCTGCTGAACAAACCAGCCAGATTGGTTTCCCAAAAAGTTAATTACGAACTGATTGAGGACAATTAAAGAATAACATATGTATTCGTATTTGTATTCGTATAATTTTGCAGTAAATTAAATAATTTAACAAAACGTGTATATTTTGCTTTCTTTAGCCTAAAATACATAATATAAATTTTAAAAAAAGGTTTTATGGGCTCATGAACTCTGTGTTACACTCTTTATCTAATAGAGAAGCAATTAATA